CATATATAACATTGATACAATTTACAACATGTCATGTGTGTAAGTGCATTAGTGTGTTTTGAAAATCTGTTTTATTTTATCTCTGCTGTAGGACCTCTTAACCGCCCGCCTCTCACTATTCGGCAAAGACATAATTTTTTTCATAAATATTATTGAAAGGTTGAAGGGGATGGAAATCGAATGTTTGAGGGGGGGGGGGGTGCAAATCTAAAGTTTGAGGGGGGGGGAGGGGGGGGGTACAAATCGAAAGTTTTGTCCCCGGGTGACGGGAAGGGTTGCTACGCCTCTGGAAGGAGTTTGTCGATTTAAAATAGGTGGTGCCCGCCACTCTACCGATATTTTAGAATGTGCTCTAGAGTAAAAAAAGGTTGGTAACCCCTGCTCTAGTCGGTCACAAGAATATAAAACATGAAAGCTTTGTATAAGTAAGGGTGTCTCGTGTTATGTTTATTTTTATGTTTTTTCGTACTTATATTATTCATTTTAAATACATTTTCTTTTTATACAATGTCATTCTTCAGTAAGTACTTTATTAAAAAAAATAACAAGAGAAGTAATTGTTTTTTTATTTGTTTAGTACAAATCTATTGAAAGGAGCTTAAGAGCACTCCATTTGGTTCATTAATAAAGGGAAATAAGTCATGGAAGTGGTTTGAACGTTTGCTTACCTATGATAAGTTTGTAGGAGAAAGAGGTCTCGGCTTTCAAAGTGGTTTAAAAACAAAGGGAAAAAGAATATACAATAGCGCCGGGTGCGTCTATACAATAAAGATAATCCAACCTCAGCTACGGTAATCTTTTTACAAAACAACCATCAAGTCAAAAATGAAAGAAAATTAAGTATTTTTAACTATAAAAAATGTATTTATGGTCGGCTGTTGGTCCCCTAAATGGCGTGGGGGCCCCCGCATTGCGGGGTCTGGCGGCACTGTAGTTCCGCCCCTGGGTTCCGTTTTTACAATATTCTATGGTTAATTTTAAATGCTCATACTTGTAATCGTTACTTTTGCGTGTTTTGGGCGAGACATCTTGTTTTAACAATAGGCAAATAGTGTTTGATGTGAAGTAGCCTTTTATACAATTTTTGGCCATCGCGCAGAACATAAGGTAAAAATAACTTTGATTTCCGTATTTAATACTATTTTGAAAATACACCAACTTATTATAACATATAAAACATTATATATTACGTCTTATTAAACAAATTTCATTAATTTAAAACATTGAAAAAAATGAATGTCAAGAACACTAGCAGACAGCACATTTGGGCAGATCGGTCAATCGCGTCCTAACAACATTTCTTGAAAATTAACCAACCGTATCAGTCATAGCACCGTAGCCATTTATTAACAAACTCTTTTTTTATCATTTTCTAAATCTCTATAATAAAAATTGGGTAACCGGACAAATGATCCCAGGACAAATTATCTCAGACAAAATATCTCACGGACAAAAGATACCAGGACAAAAAAATTCAGGACAAATGATATCATGGACAAATGATCTCAGACAAAATATCTCAGAAAAAATATCTCACAGCAAAATTGTAATAGTTAATTGGATGATTTCAGTTGATCTGCACATTTTTATTGACTGTCATATGGTATCGTTTACTATATTTAATATTGTTTATAGGTCTATATAATAGTTTTTAAAAAATATTTGCAGCATAAATGTGTCGTATTGCATTAAACATGTTAAAATTCAGATTACTAATATAGTATGTGAAGATTAAAGAAATTTTCCGATAGCCAGCTTAGGTGGGCTTGCCAAACATGAGACAATCCTACCACGTCAAGTGGACAAAACTAGATCAAAGGGAATTAAATAACAATAAAGACACACCTTTGTAACAAGGTGGCCGCCCGCTTTGATGGCAGAGACATAACTTAAGGCACGGGTTCCCAAACTGAGGGTCGCGAAGGGCTTTCTGGGAGATCGCCAACTGGTAGACTAAACCCTAGCATTGAAAAAAACACGTAAATATCTAGAAGAGTATCTGAAATTCGGCTTTACTAACATCAGTGAAAATGGAATAGAGATGAAGCAATGCCTTCTGTATGAAGTTGTTCTCAGTCATGAGTTTATGAAATCTTCAAAACTAAAACGTCATTTGAGACGAGTCGTTCGGAACACACCAAAAAAGATATGGAGTTTTTTCATCGGCATAAAGCTAGTTGCAATCGTCAGAGACTTAATCGAACAGGAAGTTTTTACCAAAGAAACACAGCATTAATGCAAGCTACAAATGAAGTCGCGATAGAAAATGCAAAGCAAAAAAAAAAAAAAACACAATAGAAGAAAATCTCATCAAACCCTGCATGTTGAAGATAGTGAAGTTAATTCTTGGGGATTCCAGTGCAGTAAAGATGCAACATACATCTCTGCCTAATAATACTATTCAGCGGCTTATAGCAGATGGGTTAAAACGGATGTGGGCGTTTTTACGGATGGTGTGCCATCTACGTTCAGGTCAAAAACGGGCTTTCAGAAAACAGAAAAGATTTAGCTCCCTAACCACTGTCCTTGCCATCATGACTCCATTGCTAGTAAAAGTCGTAAATTATATTAAATCTGGAGCCTTCAACGAACTGAGCAAAGACATGAATAAAGATCACGAGGTTCTGCTTTTCTACACTACAGTACGCTGGCTGTCAAACGGAATGTTGTGAATCGTGTTTTTGAATTGAAATCTGAAATCATATTGTTCTTGGAAGCGCAAAGGAAACAAGACCTTTTGGTATGCTTAAAACGACATAGAGTGGTTGGAGAGAGTATGATACCTTGCTGCAAAATCGGCGAAGAAAATAAATCTTGACAATATTGTAAATTTGAGAAACTATGCACTGTGCTAGATGAATTTGATTGTGAGATAATTAAAATATTGAAAGAAGCGATTTCTGGGCATCTTAAATCTCTTGACACCAAAATACAGCGCTATTTCTCTGAGCTGAAAAATGAAGAATCTGCATTGACGCACTACCCATTCTGTTCTTCCCTTGATGTTGCCAGCATTCCAGATGAATTACAAGATACATTCTTTGATTTGCAGAATGATTTCGCGTAAGATGAAAAAATGTTCACAGAATTTTGGTGTAGTATTCACCATTCATACCCAAACGTAAAATTGATTGACTTTTCGAGAATAGATTTTCAACACTATTCTCCGATTATAAAAAAAATTAAGAAATAAAGTGAATGTTGATAATGACATAGGTTGGCGTTAATAAAAACTTAACCTCGCATGTTTGGTAAATAGCATGCAGTTTTAATCATGGTATTAAAACAGTTATCAAGAGTAGTTCATATTGAAAGTCTACTAGAAAATCTTATTTTAGTGCTTATTAATTTCCATACTAATTTCGGCTTTTTAATTCTATGGGGGTCGCGGGTCACTTACTTTTTATAAAAGTGGTTCGCCAGTCGAAAAAGTTTGGGAACCACTGCCTTAAGGGAACGAAATCCACACTCCATGAACAACACAACTAACATCTAAAGTCAATAGTTATGCGTCGGTCACACCTTAGTGATTAGGTGACAAAAGCTTATTTAAGACGAACATCGGTCAACTCGGAGCTAAGTTTGTCGTAGTGTGCATGCAAACAAAGCAGTATTAGTGGTGATTACTCAGCTATGGCCTCTATCGTTACCTCGCAGAAAGGGTAGAGGACATTCGCTTCTGGTGATTTATGTTTATAAAAGCCAGAAGTGGAACAGCAGGCAAAGTGATTTGGAAATGTGAAGATAGAATATGTAAAGCAAGAGTTCATACAATACGTGATCACATAGTATTGGAGAGGTGTGATCATAACGATGTACCTGCCGGCATAGAAACGTAAGCGTTTCGTTTGTGTTCATGATGCAATAAAAACAATAATTTAACGTTACAAACCTAAAGACCCATTCACATTTTTGAAAAATATTTCGCGTGTTTTGAACATTAATGTTGTATGTTTGTTTTATACATTATCATTTATTATACATTTCAGGAATAGGTTAGTTTTAATTTTTACTTTTTTAAATCAAATGCTATTAGAAGGATTAAGTTTAATAAATGTTTTGATGCTTTGTTAAGTTTAACAGATTCATTTTACTCACAATTATTACGCGTAAACATAAATAAAAACATATTGACAGTCAATAAAAAAAAGTTCAAATCAACTAAAATCATCGTACATACTTTTAAAATTTTGCTGTGAGATATTTTGTCTGAGATATTTTGTCTGAGATTATTTGATAATAATATCATTTGTCCTTATATATTTTGTCCTAGTATCTTTCGTCCGTGAGATCATTTGTCCTGAGATCATTTGTCCGTGAGATATTTTGTCTGAGATATTTTGTCTGAGATCATTTGTCCTGAGATCATTTGTCCGTGAGATATTTTGTCTGAGAACATTTGTCCTGAGATTATTTGTCATGGAACCGGTCGAATTCGTGCTTTCAGATTAAAAAGTAAAAGATCTAGCTCCGAAATTAACGGGAATCGACACAGTTCACCATTAGGCCCCAGTCAGGAAGTTTCTTCCTCCTCTCTTACAAAAACTACGATAATAAACATCGCTCATTACGTTCAATCTGGAGCCTTTGAAAGCCATCTGTTTAACCCATTAACGCCGACTGTCGCGAAAACGCGACAAACCGATTTTGCGCTTAGCATAAATTATACGCATACTATTATCCTACTTCTGCCGGTACCTTTACTAATATTTAAGAAAAGACCCACAAACCATTGCATTACTATTGAGTACCCACATCAGTGGCATTCTACTGGCATTTAATACAGTGTTATTGAGTACCCACATCTTCAGCACTGAGTACCAACATCAATGACACTGTACACCCACAGATTCTCCACAAAGTAGGCTACCCACAGCAGTGATACTGAGTACCCACTGCTAAGGCTAAGTACCCACAGCAATGTAATCGATTGCCAACGACGCCAGCACTGAGTACCTATAGCAGTGTCAGCAAGAACCGACTGCAGTAACACTGAGTACCCACAGCTTCAACACTCAGTAAACTTCTTAAATACCATTCAATCTGGAGCCTTTGAAAGACGTCTGTTTAAAAAGTAGTACAAAAATATGGATTCTGTATTTTGTTTAATAAATACATGCTCATCCAATTGTGATGTGGCATGTACCTTCTATACTCTCATGTGGCATGTGTTAGGTCAGAATTCCACAAACATACATTCACTAGATATTTACAGGGTACACTGTTTGCATGTTCCTGTATGAAGCTGTTCTGGTACCCGCTGTTCCTGTATTGCATGTTCCTGTATGAAGCTGTTCTGGTACCCGCTGTTACTGTATTGCATGTTCCTGTATGAAGCTGTTCTGGTACCCGCTGTTCCTGTATTGCATGTTCCTGTATGAAGCTGTTCTGGTACCCGCTGTTACTGTATTGCATGTTCCTGTATGAAGCTGTTCTGGTACCAGCTGTTCCTGTATTGCATGTTCCTGTATGAAGCTGTTCTGCTACCCGCTGTTACTGTATTGCATGTTCCTGTATGAAGCTGTTCTGGTACCCGCTGTTCTTGTATTGCATTTTCCTGTATGAAGCTGTTCTGGTACCCGCTGTTCTTGTATTGTATGTTCCTGTAAACTAAACTGTGCTGTGCAACGAGCTCCCGTAACAACTGTTCCCGCAAGACGCTATCCGTTTAAGAAGTTGTTCCTGCAACAGACGTCCTTAAACAACGTTCCCATACGAAGTGTCCCTTGGCCAGTCTAGCAAGTCACGAAGTGAGCCGTGTGAAGACTACGCTGATGTCTACCCAACTCATCGTTGATGTCCTTTAGTCTACCAACCCAGAAGCCCAGTGTATTTTGTGTGTGAGCGTGTGAAGGTGCAGCAGCCTGCTGATATATTGGACCAGCACTCCTGACCTACAATCACACTCTGGGGTAAGTGCCTTTTGTATCAGCCCTCGTGCGGTGCTCTCGGCAAGCAATGACTCTGGTTTTCTTCTACCATTGGGTTTAGATATACCCGCGTGAAATTCTCTATAGTCGTAGAGGTTAAGTAAACTTACTGAGTTGCCATTACTGGGGTTTCTTGGTTATTACTTGGCAATGGGACAGAAGTATAAAATTTGCCAAGAGAGTAAACTACTAGAGTGGGCTGAAAATAAACTAGCAGAAGCAGAAGAAAAACATAGAGAGGAAACAAAACTAAATATAGAGTTAGTCGAACGAGAGGCTAAGAGAGCTTTAGAAAAACTAAGAATAGAATCAGAAGAAATGTTTTAATTAAAAACCCTCGAATTGGAGCAACAAAGTTTGGGTAACCAACGGGTAGTTGAACAAACAAAATCATATGTCCCACGTCTTAAGCTGATTAGCTTAAAAAGTAACGGTGGTCCAATGGACATGGAGGTAGTGATAGATATTTTTGAAAAAGAAGCTAGAGAGGTAGGGTTAGATCAAAGATATTGGTGCCATGAGTTCAGGAAAGTTCTGTTAGACAGAGGCTGTGATGCCTGGTTAACTGAGCTAGGAGCAGAAGAAGACTACACCAAATTAAAACGAGAATTTCTGAAACATTTTGGACTGACAGAGTCAGGCTACAGCAATAGGTTTAACTCATCCAAACCCAACTCTGAGGACAAACCAGGAAGCTACATTAGGAGAACTAGACATTGTTTGAAGAGATGGGTCGAACTAAGCGGGATAGAGAAAACTTATGACGGTCTGTTTGATCTGATTCTTAAAGACAAAATCTTAAGGACAGTAAGTGACCCTAGGACTGTTGACGAGGTGGAGAAACAGTGTGACAACTATTTCGCTATATTCCCGACGAAACAGCTAGGCGACTCTCCAGATGCACCGACAGAACTTATAGCTACAATAGCAGAACCAATGCATCAAAAGATGACCGACGTCTTAGTAGATCAAATTCTCCGCACTCTAGACACAGCTATAGACACAACACACGTAGCTCGAAATCACCGCAACTCTGGACCTCGCCTATCACACTTCACAAGATATAGACAGAATTCTGACTCAGACAGTGATAGTTATGTCCAGTCACCGGGTCCATCTCGACAAACTACACGGACTTATAACAACTCGCCTCGACCACAAACTAAATGTTTTTCATGCGGCCTAAAGGGCCATATAGCAGCTGATTGTAATGTCGATACCGAGCGGACACAACGACAGGGGCGTAATAATTCACCTAATGTGGATAAGAGCAGAAACAAACAGAAGAAGGTCAGTTTTAGAAGCAAAAAAAGATGACTAGTCCCGGAGTTTAGTGGAGAGTGCGAGGATTGCGATCAGTGTATCAACCACATGAAGTTTACCTTGCCAATATGGAACATAGTTAGCGATCTGTGGGAAAAACATTGCAAGGGAAAACTACCGATCGTCTCAGGGAACCAGACAGTTACTGTTTTGCGCGACACTGGTTCTGTAGTCATAGCGTGTAGGAAAAAGTGGACAGAAGTAGATGGAATCGTGGTAGGATGACGATTAAGACAGCCAACGGTGACAGCAAGAGAGTGCCTAGAGCGTTGGTGAGCATTGAAACTCCTTATCTTACTGGAGAGATTCTAGCCGTCCTCAAAAATTGTTGGAAGTCTGCAAAAAAGGGCAATAAGAAGTATACAATTGTAGACGGTTTGTTGTTCAAAGTCGTCGGACACAGTAGAGGGGAAGATCAAATTCGTTTAGTCGTTCTATCAGCACTTAGAGATACTGTGTTAAAACTAGGCCACGACACACCCATGGCCGGCCACATGGGGTTGGCTAGAACCAAAGCCCGGATCTTCTCAGAGTTTAGATGGCCAGGCGCAGCTGGAGACATAAGAAAGTACTGCTACAGTTGTGACACATGCCAGAAAGGCAAGAAGAATATCGGCATAAAGCGCCGCTAGGTAGATCACAAGTGGTTGGACAACCATTTGCCAAGTTAGCTATTGATATTGTAGGACGATTAAGGCTTACACAGAAGAGAAATGGGTTTATCCTAACGGCTATAGATCTACGTACACGATGGCCTGAAGCGGTACCTCTTAAAAGTATAACTGCATCGGAGGTTCAAGATGCTCTGGTCTCAATTTTTACTACAATGGGATTCCCTGAAGTTATTTTGTCGGATAATGGGTCCCAATTTACGTCAGAAATTTTCAACAAGGTTTCGAAGCTGCTAGGTATTAAACTGGGGAAGTTGAAAGATAGAATGGTACTTTCAAGGAAATGCGGAGAAAAATCACAGCAGATAGACAGGAAGACTGGGACGAATTTATACCGGCAGCTCTGCTTGCCTACAGGGAAGTCCCAAATGAAATCACTGGCTATTCACCCTTCGAACTCATGTTCGGTAGAAAAGTCGGTAGAAAAGTTAGTGGACCTATGAACATACTCAGGTCCATTTTTACAGGCGAAGGAACTAGTGACTGTAAGACTAGGTTAGCATATGGCTACTTACTTGACTTAAAACAAACATTACAGCCAGCGTGTAGGCACGCTACGAGAAAGACAGAAATGAGTAAAGATAAATACAAAGAGTAATATGACAAATCAACAAAAGTAAAAGACATTAGAATTGGCGACCATGTGCTGGTCCTAAAGCCTCAACTGCTAAACAAGTTAGAGCAGCTTAGATGTGCAGGGCCTTACGAAGTTGTTAACAAAAACTCAGACCTAGACGATGTTGTTAGAATCGGTGAGAGGACTAAAGTCTTCCACGTAAACCGGATCATACTGTATCACCACAGGAATAATTCAGATACGTCCAAAACACATCCCATGCTAGCGGCCGTATCAGGTGATATCGCAGAAGAAGAAGAGGAGCCTGAGTGGGGCAATGATCCGCAACCGGGTGTCCCACCGGTTAGGATTAGAACGCCTGACGTGACAGAACCCACCGACCTAACCACATTTCAAATTAACGGAAAACTCTCCGAGTCGCAACGTACAGACCTACATCGTCTGATCCATGAGTTCAAAGATGTTATTAGTAATATACCAGGTAGAACAAACTTAGTTGAACACAACATTGAGTTAAGTGACTTTAAACCCATTCGGATGAAACCCTATTCTATTCCCTACGCACGCAGAGAAATAATGAGAGCAGAAATTGAAGAAATTGGAAAGATTATGGATTATAGAAAAGTCAAACTCAGACTATAGCGCTCCAGTAGTTTTGGTCAAAAAGAAAGATGGGTCTGCCCGATTTTGTGTTGACTACCGCAGGCTGAACGCCGTCACCATATATGACGCTGAGCCTATCCCAGACCAAGAGGAGCTATTTGCCAAGTTGAATAGTGCTAAATATTTTACTAAATTAGACCTGACCAAAGGCTACTGGCAAATACCCCTCAACGATAAAAGCAAGAAGCTTACAGCATTCTCTACACCCTGGGGACTTTACCATTTTAATTATCTCCCTTTTGGTCTGTCTACCGCTCCTGCAAGCTTCGCCAGATTAATGCGTTTAGTTCTGAAAGGCTTAGAGAACGTAGTCTCATTCTTTGACGACATATGCATTTATAGTGACAGCTGGGGGGAACACGTTAAAAGCTTAGAGGCAGTATTTAGGAGATTAAGGGAAGCGGGATTAACTGTAAAACCGTCAAAAATAGAACTAGGATTTGAACAGGTAAGTTTCCTCGGTCATATAGTGGGAAGTGGAGTAATGGCACCTCAGAGAAGTAAAATAGATAAAATTCTAAACATTGCCATCCCAAGAACTAAGAGACAAGTGATACAACTTGTAGGCCTTATTAGCTATTACTCCAAATTTATCCCCAACTTCAGCAATCTTAAGGCGGTGCTGACTGACCTTTTGGCGAGGGATAAACCAGAGAGAGTTGCTTGGACAGAGGAGTGCAACAGGGCTCTTGGGCTGATACAGGAGCATTTAAACTTAGAGCCTGTCCTTGTCCTGACCGATATTAACCAGCCGTTCATACTCAGGATGGACGCCTCAGCACGCGGCATAGGCGCAGTGCTACTGCAGGCTAAAGATGTGGTGCTGCGGCCCGTCAAATATGTCAGCAGGAAGTTGCTACCGCGTGAGACGAGGTACTCAACAATTGAGAGGGAATGTTTGGCCATTATCTGGGCAGTGGGGAAGTTAGCACTGTACTTAAACAACGTACACTTTACACGCCAAGCGGACCAACGAGCTTTGAAGTATTTAAACAACTGTAGTTACATCAACTCTAGATTAACTCGATGGTCTCTATTGTTACAAGAATTTAAGTTTACTATAGAGCATATACCAGGCAAAGAGAATATAGTAGCGGACATGCTATCAAGGGAATAGAGAGAAAGAGTGATAGATGGTGGATTTTGAAAGTGTGAGTGCTAGACTCGCTATGTATTGTCACTAATTAGAATAGAAACAAAAAGTACACTTGAAATTTTATAATCGTTCTAATTGGCTCCAACGAAGTTTAA